TGAAAAATGTTTCCAAGAATGGAATCGCAGATTTGACAAATGTATTAAGTGTAATGGAGAGTACTTTGAAGGGGATAAAGTTGTTTTGTAAAAATATTTATATACACAGCTTTGAAAATAGGATTCCTTTTTTGGGATATATATATTGCAAGTCCTTTGGTGGTTATGAGATTTATAGACATTTTATCCTAATCTGTGGCTTATCTTTTTCTCCTAATAGATTTTTTTCCCTCAGTATCAGTGTTTCTAAAAAAAAGTTGAAAGTTTTCATTCTGATCCAATTGATTAATTTTTTAATCAACGGATTAAAATCAATGGATTATGCTTGTGGTGCCATATCTTAGAACCCTTTACTTAGTCCCAAATCCTGAACATTCGTTCATGAATTTTCTCCTAAAAGTTTTAGTTTAAATCATCTATTTTGAATAAATGTTCTTATTGAATAAATGTGAGGTTTGAGATCCTTTTGCTCTTCCCATCTCTATTACTGCCACTGAGTTCTGTCCACTCCTCAGAGTGGAACTGCCCGTGTGGGTTTCCCAGACTGGAAACCCTGACAGTAGTTCAAATCCTCTCCTGGGGAGGAGCACTGGAGATTTGAAATTGCTGATTTGCAAAGCAATAGGTCACCCACAATGGCATCCAATTGATTTACCACATTTGTTGGAAGACTTTTCTTTCATGATCAACTTGCTTATGATACTTTTGAAAATATCAGTTAAGTCATATTTCGTGGGCCTATTTCTAGACTCTCTACTCTGTTCCACAGGTCTATCCATTTGCCCCTGAAGTCGTTAAATATGCAAGTGTGTTTCCATGTCTGAGTGCAGACTCCGAAGAGATCCCTGAGCAGGAGATACATATTATGATGAGTAAGGCTAGGGTTTTGTTTGTTTCCTCTCTCATTTACACATTTCCCCCCCAATTTATAAGCATTTGTTCCTCACTGGAAAGAAGGAAGAAATTTGACTAAAACCCAAACAAACCAACCCCAAACCCAGACTCACCACCATGGAGTTCATTCCCACATAGATGTGCTATAGTCTCACGATGCGCCTATAGGCCAGAATAGAACTGGCCCTTTGGGTTTCCCAGGCTGTAAATTGTTACTGCTGCAAAAACTGAGCTTTCTCTCTCAGAGGCTGGTGGTTTAGAACTACTGACCTTGCAGTTAACATTCGCATGTGTAAATCACGATGCTACCAGTGTTCTTTTTTTACTAAAACAGAGGAGCTTAATCACAGACTAAAGAGCACAGAGTATTTTAGTACATTTTTGGCCTTGTTACTTTATTTAATAGGTAAAAGTATCAGCAAAATTTTATGGTATACAAAGTTTAAAAATTGGAGTCATCCACCAGCTTTGGTTTAGGAAACAAATTTTAGGAAGTAAATGATAAAAATAGTATTTTTCTGATATACTTGGTATTCAAAAGACTAAGAAAAGAAATACTCACAAATATTTCCATTGGTCTGCAGTTCTTTATCTGAAAAATGTCATCCAACAGCAAGTCTATGGGTTTCTCTTTGTAGAACATTAAAAAAAAGCGGACAAAGTCAGGTAAGTCCTCAGATCTAAACATCTTCCCTAAGGATAAAAAATAAGTAAGATTTTTAGAAAAACCTCTTGAGTTTCAGGCTGTGTATAACGACAAAGGCATGAAATACAGAAAGAGTAAAACTGGAGGCCTC